AGCATTGTGTGTTTAACAATTCAGTTTTCATAATGGCACAAGTGAGTAGCTCTACATACAGTTCAATGGTAGTAATAGCAAGACGCATCAGGGAGGGTTGGCACATTGTAACGTATTACTAGAAGCATTGCAAATTTATTCCAAGCCAGAGCTTGGTGAAAGAGATTAAAAGAATCTCTCTTCTCTTTTATCACTTAGTTGTGGCCATCCTTGCCATTATGTGCCTCTCACCAAAGCTGATGTCTCTTCTCCTAGCAATTGCTGCACCAGTGGTGCAGGATCCTAGTCTATTGTTGGCAGTTCTTTCTGAGTTCTTGGCTCTTATCTGCCAGAAGCAGTTACCTGGTGCCTCCCCAGTTAGTAAACAAGACAAATCTTATCCTCCACTTGGTGCCGGTTGACCCAGTACCAAGCCCCTAAGCTGACTTACCACCTAGATCAGCAGCTGTAACCTTGCCACTTTGGTTAGTTGTTGTGGTGTTTTGAAATGTTACTAGAAGAATATAAAACATTAAAGGGGAGAGTCTAAGCAAGCTATAGATTATGTGCTGTATGATCAAGCAATTGCACATGTCTAAATACAGTAGATAATGATGCAGTCATCTTGCAGAAATTTTCTCTATCACTTCATCATTTAAGCTTGCAGCAATTGCTTATTGCATTAAAGTCTAAACTAGGTGCGAAGCAGTCACTGAGTGAAGAAAATTGTAGGTCTGCTTTGCTAACCTGGCCTTGCTGCTAGAGAAGAAACATAAGCTCCAATAGCTATCATGCTGCATGCAGGTATAGACTTTCTCACTTTCAACTTATCAGAGTCCTTTATATCAAGGAAAAGATTGTATATCTGCTTTTCCAGCCTTTCTTCCTTCTAGAGAAGATATTAGACAGCAGTTTAGCCTTATCTTGCTGATCAATTGTTGCAAATAAGCTCAGAGTTGCTGATAGCCACAATTAAATTTCATTGTGACCACACCTGCTTTCTATGAAGAAATAGTAGTTAGACGGACCCTATCATACCCGTGCATACAGACAGATGCTCTTTTGTCTTAGTGGGGCTCGCTCAGGCTTGCCCCAATTATGTACATGCTTTGTTTGTTGGACACACCCCTGTAGTGGGGCATGTCCTACAGTTTTGATCCAAATCTATGGTGTTCTTCACGGAAGTAAACGAAGTACTAAATTGAAATTCAGTGCTTTGTTGCTTTTCGCATTTGTTTTTATTTACATCTATATAATTTATCATTAAACCACAATATGTGGCTGTTTGGTAAACACCTGTTCTTTTGTCAGTAGAAATTATTCTTGTGATTGTGTTGATAATCAGAGTTTTAGGGGATGCATTTGGAATATTACAGGGGTTTGCATATTAGTTGAATGGTACTTCAGCTTGTCTATGGCGTGCACTATTGCGTTAATTTTTTTCTGGCAAGTATGTCCACAAAACCTTGTTTATTCTGCCTTCTGCAGCTTCCTTGGTAGGAGTACCTCTTCATTTGGTGGCTACTTTTAAGCCACATTGTCTTCAATCGATGGCTCTTGTGCTGGTTTCAGGGATGTCGGGTTTCCCTTATCTGCCTACCATGGCATTTCTTCCAAACCCACTCCTCTTGTGTTGCCCTCCCAGCCACTGGTATGCTCGGGCCTCCTGTGGCCCTTGGCCTCTCCTTCTCTTTATCAGCATTGTCAATTCTGGTCCTGAAGATCCAGAATAGTCAGTTTGTCAAGATGAGCAAGCTGCTGGATAAGCTAATGCAATATGAGTCGGACTCTTTGCTTGGGTATTTTTCTCATGCAACTATGGTGGTACCACCCGTGGCAGATTTTTTCTTTGGCACCTGTTCTCTCTCTCTCTGGCGATGGCAGTATTAGCCACTTCCTCATTCAATTAAGTGCTATGGCTACAGGTCTGGCTTTGAGACTGCCCATGTAGTTCAAGTGCGTATGGAAATTTTGGACTTGGGGCTGTTACAGGAAATGCTAGATAGTTGCAGGTCCAATGGCCAGATTCATTGGCTGACATCAGCATTGCTGTGGACATGGTTCATATTGTACAGGCGGGAGCTGTAGCTGGCACCAGTCGAATGTGTGTTTTTATTGTGATAACACTGCAGTTGATTCCGTCACTGAGAGGCAGTCAGCTACCCTTTTGCATCTTCAGTTTTTTATACTTCGTACTACAGTTTTTGTACTGTGCACTTCAGTTGCCTAAGGGTATCTACCGATGCTCTGTTAAGAGATAACATGTTATTATTATTATATTCCCTTGCTTGAGAAGGATCCAATGCCAGGAGATCTGCAAATTGCTGCTGTGGCAATACTCACATTTGGGCTTTCTTTCCTGGATCAAGCAGTTCAGGGCCACTTTAGAGCCCAGGTATTTTATTGCACGGCTCTTGATAGCTACCTTTTATACGGCATTCTTTCTTTCACTGAATCTCCTCTCTCAGTTTGTGTTATACCTGGTGGTTTTTGGATAGTCAAATGGGTCGGTTTAAATGTAAATGTAATTGAGTGAGATTTGCCCTGCCCAAATTCCCCTTGGTTTGCTTTGTCTTCTTTTTCAGCAAGTGTTCCAGGCCATCTGTAAAGCCTGCCTGGGTCGTGCTGGACTTCTGTCACCACTCACATTTTGAGAATCCTGCTGTATGTGGGTCATCTCAGCCAATATCTTTATAATAGGATACTGTTGTGGGCTGCTTGCTGTGTCAGCTTTTTACCTTTCATCACATGGTAAACTCACTTGCCATTCTAGGGCTGCCTTCACAGAGTCCATGTTGTCTTTTGATGATGTTGCAGTCAATTCTGACTCGTTTCATTCCTTTGTGTCACTGCTCTTTCACCGTAATAAAATTCACATTTTTGGAAAACGGGTTTGGGCTGGGTACGTGGCCTAATCTGTCCAGTGATGTCTTGATTGGCAAACCTGGCAGTAAGGGGTCCTGAACCTGGTTCCCTGTTCATGTTTCAGGATGAATTTCTCCTGTCCTATAGGTGTTTCGTTGCTGCTATTTGTGGTGGTTTAACTGCATCAGGGATGAATGTCATTAGCTCGAATGGCTACAATTTTCACATTGGAGCATTATCCACTAGTGCGGCTACTTGTGGCCTTGAGGGTTTATCTAAAACAGGTTCTGGGTCAGTGGAAGTTGTCAGCATTCACATATTACATTCTGATCTTGCTGTTTGGAGTGGCCCAGAGTTAATAGCTCATAGTGTTTGGTGGCTCAAATTGACTTTTCTCTTTTTTTATTGTGGAATTTGCTGTTGGTTTGGGTTGTGTTGGGCCTTTTGCTGTCATATTATTCCTCCTTATTTCCCTGTTTTTTTGTTCATTATTTCATCTTGATTTCATTGTGCTGCTTTTTTTTGTTAAAATCCTACAAATTCCAAATCTGATGCCTCCATACCTATTCTACTCTTTCTCTACAAAATTAATGTTTAGGGAAGGAAATGCTTGTGACATCTCTCACAGTGTTTGTTCACATCACTCACTCGACTCATATTTGTTTATTCTGATCCTGAACCTCTATTTGGCCCCTAAGGGAGGGGGAGGGCTGTTCTGAATAGCCCATTTTTGCAATGTTGGGCACAACCACTAAGTATGCCCCATGTTTGCGCAGGACACCACAGTGGCATTGACATGCCATTGCTGACTGTGATGGACATATGTGTTTGCCCACCTGCACATTTATGGCTCTTGCTGTTAGCACTAAATCAGTCAATGGCACTGACATGTATGGGCCACTTGCAGGTACGGCATGCTAAGATGCCCCTCTCACAGCCAAGATGCCCCTCTCACAGCCGTGGCATCATGCTGTTGGCACTAAAACATTTGGCAGTGCTGACATGTCATGACCAGCTGTACTCCTATTATTGATACGAATAGTCTTATCCAGGTACCACTGGGGTTGTTATCAATATTCAGCAGCAGTTACAGGCAGAAGAAGCCAAGATAAAATTCCTAACTGTCTCCCTCCTAATTTTATGTCTGCCAAGGCCAATGGTCATTAAACAATTACAATACAGCTTCCAATATCTATGTTAAGGAAAAGACTCAGGATAGCAAACTAAAACCATTCAGCCACACAGAAATTGACTTTTTCCACTAGTTCCATGCTTAAAGTAATGAAAGATAAATATCCCAATCTTTAAATTAGTGTTAATATGCAAGAATGGATTAATCTTCATCTCTGCCTAAAAAGTTGTTATATTAAGCAATGAACCAGTATGATATAACATTGAAGGAAGAACAACGAGTACCATACAAGGGAATTTTTTTCAGGGCTATAAATTTGACAGATTTTGCAAATAGTTTTAAATTCATGAAAAATTATGAATTCAATTAATAGCAAACTTTTTACTAGGGTACAATGTGATACTCTCATTTCCAAAAATCTATGAATGTGTGACATGCATATCCTCTATACAATATACCATACAGAATTTAGGTAAAAACAAGCATATAAGTGTAAAAATAATTCCTATAATTGTTTTCACCACCTTGCATGTACAGCTAGGTTCTTATTAAGACTTATAGAGGATCTCTCTACATTCTAATGCTTCTAAAAAATTAAGACAGTATTTCTGTTCTCTTGGTGTTAAAAAGCTCATAACTTTGTCCTGCGTGCAAGCCACAATTTTGTTTATTGTGGCCACACCTACTTATGTGAAGTGAGTATGAGCATGGGGTGGTTGCTAAGGCTTGCTATTTCTCCAATACATGTAACATGTATAGAAGAAATGTAAGTGTGACATATATACAAACATCACACGTGAGTGAAATCAATTATAGGAATGACTTGGCCCTCAGGTCGCAATAATTCATTTGGTGGTTTAGATTTTTAATAGTGGCAGTAGAATGACATTGGCCAAAAACTACTTAATTCTTGGCTGTACTGAAATTGACAAATTTCTAATTCTCACTCTAAATCCTTCTAAACACATACAGTAATACTACTAAATAAGCATAGCACCTAAACTTTAAAATAATAAGTTACTACCTTCATAGCCAGTAACTACTTTGCAGGAAAGTTGCTTAACATCTGAATGGACAAATTTTGCTTCTGATAAGTGAATTAATTTGACAGTGAAATCAAAGGAATTTGGAACTACATAAACACTATCAGGCTACAACAAATTGATATAAAATAGAGTAAACAATGACTTAAGCTAACCTTAATAGCAAGATGGACAATCCCATGATCGTGGAGATGCTTTAAACCACAACACAACTCTCTACAAAATTTGGCAATATCATGTTCACTTGAGTTGCGTTCATTGAAGTATGTTAATGGAGACAAACCCTGAATACTATTTCTCACAATGAAAATCAATACATAAAATAAATTCTTACTATTGCATTACAATGATGAAGTGTTGATGAGAAAGGTATGCTGCACTTAACTGAACTATATTAGGATGACAAATGAGTGCCAATATGTCCAATTCATTCTGGCAATGATTGATTTGTAAATTTATTGGTATCAGTTTAGCGGCATATATTTGTTGTGTCCCTTTATGAAGACATTTATACACAGTTCCAAACATTCCTCTACTCAGATAAATAAAAATAGTTATTTTCACACAAAAACTAACTTTGCAATTTCATTTTTCAAGAGATAGTGATCATCAAATGGATCAAGTGAGAAATGTTTTTTAAAAGGGGAACCATCAAGTTTTATAGACTCAGACTCTTGACTACCTTCACTGTTCCCTATATCATTTGCAGCAATGACACGAAATACATATTCTGTTGCAGGTACCAAATCATCAATAATTGTTGAAGGTTCAAAAATACGTTTTGTTAATGTACTCCACCTAACAAAGCTATATTCATTAGAATAAGCAAGTTGACTAACTTATTTGTAATTTTGTCTTTGCATTCAACAATAAATAACTTTACTGGAGAGTGACCATCAAAAGGAAGATTCCAAGAAAGGCTAACCGAAGTAGAAGTAATCTTTTGGACATGTGGCTTGCCAGGAGCATTAGGACGTCTTACGACCATTAATTTTGCCGAAGACTGACAAAATTGGTCTTTAACATACACTTTGCAGGTATAGGTGCCTTCATCTTTTTGACTAATATTATCGATTTGCAGAACACAGTCTTGAGATTTAGTGGTTATGGAGCAGTTCTGTCCAATAACACCATCATTAATAAACCATTTCACATCTTTATCTAAATAATCATGCTTTAATTTGCAAGAAAACACAACGGACTGCCCCTCCAAAATGCTTTCATCAGAAAGTGGTTCAGCAATTACTGGGACCTAACAAGATAAAGTCATTATCATAATTTTAATAATAATAAACAAGGCAATTGGGAAGGATTCTTTTTGTGCAAAAAAAGTAATGGAAACAAGGGCAAGTAGGATATCCAATAACTGACATATGCCAACAAAAATACAAAACGAAAATCCTACTCTCATGACACAAATTCTCCTCTACATTGTGCTTTCAAAGTTATTATGTAAAAAATTAGGACCACTTTGCAAAGTAGAGTGGATTTTGCACAACCTTGTAAAATTTTTACTTCATAATTAGCTAGCATGGGTTAGTTGTTTAGAATCCTACTTACATTTGTTTTCATTACTTTTTTACAAAAAAAGTGAAGTAAATTCACTCAATCTTTTTTGGGACTTAGCTTGTTTGTATCACTCTTATTGTTAAATTATTTCTTCAGGTTACCATGGTAATACTAGTTCATAATTTACATTTTATTCCCTTATTATTATCAGTTACACCAGCACATAAATGTACAGTCACTTCGAGAGAGAAGTTAAAACAAGCATTATTACATCAGTAGAAATGCAGAAGGAATTCTCTTTCTACAATAATTCAGTGAAATTGCACAAAGATATAGTTTCATAAGTCCTAGTTCAAGAAGCACTGACAATATTCATCTTCCCTAAAATCCTGTAGTCCAGTTTTTCCTGCTTATTATAATTATGATCACATACCAACTAATTGTTCATTGATCAAACAGTTAATAACACAATGATTAAACAAGATTAGCGACAAGCATTAGATCTTTCACAAAGAATTGCAGTTCACTCATGGTGGTTGGCAATACCATCAAAATATTAGCAATACAATCAATACTGAGCCATTCTCAAATAGTGTCTGCATGTATCATAATTTTAGGAACAGCAGTATCAATATAAAAAAAGCCATACCCCTAATCACACCTTAACAATGAAATGATGCTATTTTTAAAACAAAAGTGTAAAATCGTGGATAAATCTTGAAATCCTATACAACTTACAAACACATTTATCAATTTTTGAAGAAACTTTAAAGTCCCATGAAAATTTTCACACTTGCTCAGGGCCATATTGATCTAAATGTATAGTCAGTTTCATTTGAGTTGCCACAGGAAGTAAATCAATGTTTGCATCACAAAATGTCATTCCTAGCCACACCCAAAATGGTGGCAAAGTGCAAGCAAACTCGTTCATTGAGCGTTTCTTCACCTCTAACACCTTTTATTGTCTATTTTATCCTTGCTTTGGATACCACTACCTTTTATTATCACCAGCTAGACTTTTCTGTTATAAAGCTGACAAAGACCTCCAATATGGAAGATAACAACCTAGGTTGAGGGTAATGAAGAAAAACGGCGATCGAGAAGGCTGTGGGCAGGTATAGCAGACGTTTCCCAGTAGTATAGACTGCTAGTTGAATGCCTCCTTCTTTAGAGAACCTTATCTGTCTGCTTTTATTTTATAAAATAAAAAACATTAATTTTCTTAAAATAATAATGAGATGCAAATTATATTTACGAGTGTGATATAGCGTAAACGTAATGATTCATCATGGCGGCTCCCTTTGAACTAGAGTGGAATAACCCATTCAGAACCTTCCAGAGTACCTAGAGACTCAAAAATTGGTACAGATTTTCGGAAGAACCCGTTATGCAACTATACCAAGTTCAGGTTGCTAGCATTAGTAATAAAAAAGTTATAAGGGGTGGTGCTTGGGCAACTCAACTGAAACCGGCTATACTTTCAATTCAGATTGGCCAGGTAAGCCTAACACTTCCCAAACACCATAGGAGTGACACCATAGTAACCATATACTTTTAGTTTCTCACTATCTTTATTGATCTTAATGTATAATTTAATAGGAACTTGAAAAGACCTTGCTTTAGATTTACAACAACTTAATAGAATTTTGAGAGCAAGATCTCCCGCTGTCTTACTTGATCCTAGCTCAAAAATCAAGTTAGATCTTGCCAGGAGCATATCAAAGCTGTGAGAGTTGGTTGGATAGAGAAGGAAAAAATGCGGCGTGCGAAACACACTGCGATTTCGACTACACCTCTTTTTACTGCGCTAAAATATTGTTTTCCGCCCTTTAGCTTAGCTTGCACTTTATTGAATATTATAGGTGCAGTCACAGTAATTTCAGGCACTTTGCCACTTCCTACTGCCCTTTAAAGCACTGGCAAATGCTGAAATTGAGACTGAAATGATTGTCAACTGTGTTGAATAACTTTCTTAAAACACTTACATGTAGCAGCGATATCAGACACCAGAGCTTAAAGAAGCAGAATAAAAAATTGCTGACTCTTTGGGCTAACGGGTGCTCAAGCACCCTCAGCACCCCCCTAAATCCGCCCCTAAATTAAGCTAAGACTTAAGCTAAGACGTGTTCTTCAATGCTTATATTTTCTTCATTAGTAGTAGTACTGGCCTTGGGGAGACATTCAAAAAGACTCAGGACAGTTTCTTAGTCATTTTTCACTCGATTAATTTTAATTTAAATAATTAAGTAAATAGTCTAATAACAGATTGGTTAATAGTAGTTATTATTACAAAAATAGCAGCCTAAATTATGGAAGTCTCTACCATGTTATCATCATATTTACACTGACTAAAACTATTAGCTGTGCTAGTCTTGTCTCATTGCTTTCATCATAATAAAGTGAGTAATACTTTTAACAGGACTAATATACAAAATATTTTTTTTACTTCTGCTGAGTTAGTCGGGCACATGCCTACACAAGCCCACCCTTAGGTACACCCCTTGATCTTGCTATAATATGTAAGGACCTTGACAAGGTCTCATCATTGATTTTGTATGAACTTGCATGAATCTTGACAGCAAGAGCTTTCATTATTTGACATGCAAGAACCTTCTTCCAAAATTAAGTAAGATCTTGCATATTAATAGCAAGAATCTCAGGGGCATTTCTAGCATGGGGCTGAATGGTGCTTGAGCCCCCCTCAGCCCTTGGCTGAAAACTGATCAACTATCAACAAGACATACATTTATGCCATAAAAAGAAATTAAAAGCATTCTAAGTACCACTATAGGTTTCTTCTTATAGTCCTTTGTGATCTTTTGTCTTTTGTTTGTGATGAATCAGCTCTTGCCTTCAAATCCATGAAATCCTACTGAGCAGCCATTTTTTTGACAACACCTTCAATTTACACACCACCACAAATATATGACACATGCACAGTAGCCACTAGCCACACCACACCTATGCACATGTGTTAATTTGTACAAGCAACCACAGAACCACTAATCACTACCAGCTGTAAATAATGTCTCTTCAATTACTTTCACAAAAAGAGCAGCCAATGCCAATCCAGTTCTACAAGTACAGTACATCTACACAGTCTACTAGCACTTCAAGTTCAGCAGGTATGTTAACATTAAAAAATCTGGTAGCTATTGAAAACTTGCACTTCAAGTTCAGCAGGTATGTTAACATTAAAAAATCTGGTAGCTATTGAAAACTTGGTTATATAGTAATTATACGGCAATTTCCACAGGAATCCACAAGGAAGAAGTGGGTGTGGCCAAAAAATTGGCACGCTTTGCGTGCCACCACCCCTTCCCCTTCCACCTCTTACCCTATAGCCCTCCTCACCAAATTCCTAGATACACTCCTGAATCTTATCAGGATCTTGGAAAAAACTTCACTAGGTTTTGTTGAAACTTAATTTTTACAAGGAGCAAAGGAATCACGAAAGTGACACAACAAAACAGAGCCCAAAGTCACACGTTCACTCAATAAAATCTACCAATTTTATCCACATCAAAGGGGTGCATTAATTATACTGTCAATTGCTTCAGGTCCATTTTTAAATAAAACACATACAAATATTACTTACTGGAGAACTGAACATATTCTTAGACTTCTTTTTACTTCGTTCAGGCTTCATTGATGTTAAGCTGATGATGACATAATATTTTTTGATTACATTATAATTGTGCCTAACTCACCTATGTCTTGCATTGCTGCCACTTTCTTTTAAATTGAATTTACTATCTTTAGCTAAAAAAATGATGTAAAAGTTAACAATATCAATAACATCATACTTGGTTCACTCAGTATTGGACTTTCCCCACAATAAGGTGCCATAAATGTTCTTGGTACCCAACCTTCAGTGCCAGGTGCATATTCCCCAATTGAATCACTTTTAAGTATTCTGGCAAGCCACCAATCTCCCATTGAATTGAT